AAAAAATCATAAATTACTATATCAATACCACAGAATTACACTATAATTTATCAAACTTAGTAATTAAGCTGTATTTGGGTCTAAAAAAATATCCTTTTTCGACCTCACTAATGTCTTATCTTACCGCTTGAAATCTAGCATGAAAAGAAAGAGTTTCCTGCACAAATACTTCATAGAGGCTGAGAAAGCCACTAGGAGGACATTTCGAGCTCTCTATTGGTTACACACACATCATTGTACAATGTAGGTGTATGTAAGCAAGTATTTTCAAAACTGAAAGTGGTTGGCAGGGCCACCTTGGTTGTTTCAATAAAAATATGTCTCAGAAAATAGAAAAGATAGGAGATTCTTATATTCTGGCTTGTCGATATCATTAATTTGAGTTTCTAGTTTGTAAGATACTATAGGCAAAGGGCAATGTCACCAAAACATCATTCAAACTCTGTCTGTCCATATGGACATAGGACAGTGTCACCAAAACATCATCAAAACCCAACCTGTTCTTATGGAAAAAGGGCAATATCACCAAAATATCATTTAAACCCAACCTATTCTTATGGACAAAGGGTAGTGTCACAAAAATATCATTCAGACCCACCCTGTTCATATGAACAAAGGGTAGTGACATTAAAATATCATATAAACCCAAAACACACACTTATTTCAGGTATTCATTGCTTTAAAATCTGTTAATTTGACTAGCTCAAGGAAACACTACAGTATTGCATATCATACTGGAACATCCGAGTGATGCAAGGTTTTTTACAAGAAACTTATGAATAAGAGTCAAAGCAATTAATATGTAAAATAGCTTATCACAATCTATATATATATTCTATTGTGTGTAGTAATTTAAACTTGTGTGTTTTTGATATGTCACATTTTGTAATTTCTTGGAATTATTTCATACAGCCTGTCACTACCCCAGTTCCAGTTGAATCTAAAGCTGATTCACCAATAGAAATGAATAATAAAACACAGTCTGACATTCCAGAAGTTAATAATGTCAACCTTCTTGCAGAGAAAGGAGATGTGCAAAATTCCCAGAAAATTAAAGGTATAATATACTAGCTTTTTGTCTATGTGCAGTTGTAGAGCTGGTATTGTTTGATATAATGAAATAACTAGGAAAAGCCCCACCAAAATGATTAAAAGAACCTGGAAATAAAGAACCAGTTTTATGGCTTTATTGTGCATGTTGGACATTCATAAGAAATTTATCCCCTCCCCCATTCCCAATTAAGTAGTTATTCTTCTCCCATTTGGTGTGCCCCCCAGTGGCACCGTGGTATGTCTGCAGACTTATAATGCTAGAACCCGGGTTTCGATACCCGTGGTAGGCAGAGCACAGATAGCTCATTGTGTAGCTTTATGCTTAATTACAAACAAACAAACCATTTTGGTGAATTTTCAGCCTTTCAATAAAATATCCCATGTTGCAGTTGTAAGAAATAATCAATTCTTTGTTTTATCCTTTTGGAGGTATTTTCTAATTTTGTGATATCTTTTCCAAACACTACCTAGTTGCAAAATTTTAGCTTCTGTGGATTTATAAAGTAAGAATTATTTGATCTTCTTGTTGAGTATTTAATTTTTTGTACATTGTGACCCTTGAAATCCATGAAAGGTTAAGTGTGCCTCTTCATTAGTAATAAATTCACAATCTACTTAAAAATATTTCAGACTTTGAGGACTTGTGCTTTTCTACTGGCAGTTAAATCTCCATTTTCAAATACTTATCTTTAATTATTCATGCTGACTTTCATTATTTATTGATGTACTTGGAGTTCCTTCTTTTTTGGAGAGACATTGCATGTGAGTTTCGTTATGGTATCAAAAACATAGGGTGAACACTCTCTTAATGAGGCATGTGGCATATGACCAAACAGTGTCTAAAAAAAGTTTGAAAGGTATACCATGAAATAATGTTTCATGATCAGTCACTCTTTTAGTTTTGAAACAAAAATGTTTCTCTTAGTTTTTGACATATGGCAGGGGTTCTCCACTAACTTAAAATAACTGTATTATTAGAGCTAGGCAGTTATCATTCTTTTGAATTTCACTTATCCTTTTGACTTTTATGTCTATGGGTGAGGGGTCAAATTGTGCATGCCCTAACTTTGTACAGAGTGCCATTCAACTTGGTATTAGGAATTTAATGTCAGAGTTATCAACTTTTCTTGTTACCCTACAATGCTGATATTGCAACAGTTCATGTAAGAGTATAACACCATCTAAACTATGTGTATTATGAACTCAAAAATTTAAAGTTTGTTAGTCTTAAACAAATAATTCCATGTTTTTTTCTTATGTTGTTAAAAGCTTGGCCTAAGTCAAAAACAATTCCTAATTGTTTATATTATCATCCATTTATGAAGTAGAGTATAGTTACCCTTTAGTCATTAGCTTTAAAGAGTAAGTGACTTTTATAGTATCAAGAGTTTAGTGTTAATGCCCTATGGATATTTATACATAATTCTTTTATTGAAGAGTTTTAAAATAGTCTACTTAAATATCAATAATTGTCATAGGAAATTTTATCATTGGCTTTTTCAACATATCATTACATTAGGGGATGGTAACAAATATTGCATAAGAATTAATTCAACTTGAAATAATTACAAATTCAATTAGTTTTTTCAAATAAAATAAATTTATGTTTCCACGTGAATGAATCTGCTTTATTCCACATTAGTTAAAACCTTTTTTTTTGCATTTGCATTCACTAAAAGTGTTATGTCTGTCCAGACATTTCTCTTACCACAGTCATCTGTAATATTAAGTGAAAAATCTGATAGGAGGGAAGAAGTCTTGTCGAAGGCTAAAATATCCAAATATAGAACAAACATTTTATGACATTCTTAATGAAAGACAATTGAATATTTTACTTTACAGCCAGGGACAAAAATTTTTTTATAAAAAAAGATGTATTTCTTGGCAAAAACCAAGAAACTTATTAGCTCTATATGCATGGACACTGAGTATTTCTTCTTTATAAAAATGTACAAAGTATTCCTTATGTGTCCTAGGTCAGTTATACATATTTATGTCAAATCAGATAGACTTACCTTTGAAATTCAAATTCGATGACGAGGAACCCACTTTGAGACTAATAATGGCTAAATATTTTAGAGTCAGTAGCCTTGCGTCATACATACATATTGAAATTGGCCAGTGGGTCACACAACTGGCCAAATTAGTGATGGGCTCAGCATCATAAGGACAGCACAATGAGAACATCAAAACATAAAGAACCAGATAAATAATAATAAAAAAATATAGGATTCCCATCTTCTTGGAGCTGAGACATCTAGTGATAATGGTTGTCACATTTCTGATATCTTTAACATCATACAAGGATGTGCATGTGGAGGTGGGAAAGATACCCACTGAGGCACCCTATGTTCACTTCCAAAGAACTACACTCTCTCATGGAACTCCAATGTAAAGGGTGAAATTTCATCTAGGAAAAACATAGAAATTATTGTACCTGATGATGACAAAACCTTGTTGAAATGTTGTACATTTGCTGTTATGTTAAACTTATATTAAAGTTTTTCTTCATTACCCATTCAAGCCGTCTCCCCTGTGTCTCATTGCTGGCTCCACACCTAAAGAAGGCAGACTAATGTTCTGACAAAACATGTAGTATGTTCCATCATCAATAAAATTCCTCATTATTCTTGCAAATCATTGTTTGCCATACCTGTTATTATTCATACACCATTACTTTTCATAAAACTGACTCCTTTACCTGGATTGAAGGTCATCACAGGTGAAGAGGTACCATGCTGAGAAGACTGCCTTCTTTCTCACATGTTCTTTAGGTCCAGTCTTTTTATAAGGTTACTATACTCCATTCATTCACACTTACATTTGGTTCTGCAAATTATTTTCTTTGCTTGGCTACATATTTCTTGCAGTATAGATTATTATCTTCCTATCTTGTAGCTTGACGTGTTATATTTTCCATTTATTTCCATGTTTATTGGTTCCCACCTTCTTTACATTGTGAGTATTCTGGTTTCCAGTATTTCAGAGGTATGCCTACCTGATTTGAATTTTACATTTTTAAAATTAAAATTAATTTCAAATAGATACCTCTGAAATACCTTCTCTCCCACCTCCCCATAACTAAAGTTTCATCACAGCTGCAACTTTCAATAAAAATTAAATTATGTCAGTTAAGCAGAGCTTACTTCAGATCTGATGCTTACACAATAAGTTAAGTGGAATGTGGGAGAGTGGAGAATTATGAGTAAATGATGCATTCTTTGCAAGTGTAAAGGAAATTTAGAAAATTTTGGTCGTATGTTTTGTTGGCAAGATGAGTTCAAGCTCAACAAGGAAAGGCTTTCAGTATTTCAGATGTAAGCATTTTTTATTGAAATTTGTTTTTATATAAAATATGTAAAAAATTGTTTCTATTTTAATTGTGCAAAACTCATACTAAAAGGGTTAAGTTTAAAGTGCATGTTTTGTGTCAGCATTAGGTGTTTTTTTTTCAGGAAAAAACTCTTTTAAACCAGTTTCCTACATACATTTAGATTTTCTACACCAGGTGGTATTTAGTGTAAACTGTTGTTACCAGTAAGTGCTGTCTAAGGTAACAAACTTGCATATTTGTGCAAATGCTAAATTGGAACATGTCTGGTTACTTACTGCACTATATCTCAGGAAAAAATAATTTGGTATTAAATGCCCTGATATAATATAGTTCTAGAATGTCAATATAAAATTGGATAATATCAACAAGATGGTACAATAGCTAAATGAAAGTCTGTTTCTACCAATGAAGATTATTTAAATGTATTTGAACAGCATAACATCAAATGGTGATACAAAGTCAATACAAAAGAAATGAGGAACTTGGTCTTTAAGGAAATTTGCAGAGAATCCAACCTGAACAAAAGGCAGTCACAAAGGGAAAAAGGATGACAAGGAAAGAGCTCTGTACTGATCTCTGTCATGAAAATACATGGAATATGGCACTACTGAGGCTCATTATCATTATAAGATTGATAAATGACTTACTGTTAACCAAGATTAACTTTACCAAATGGTGCAAAACCAATGACACAAAGTGCTCTTTGTGTAGAGGATATGGGTCAATGGATCATGTTCTCTCAGCATGCAAAGTACCTCTTTTCACCCAAAGCTATCTCAACCTTGATTTGCCCTCTAATCATTACTAAAAAATTTTTTACTAATGGCGCACCAGTTTGTTATACTTCTTTATTTTTGTTCCCTTTTAGAACATGCATATCATGTGACTACCCTCCACCAATCATACTGCACCACCTATACTAGTGTGGGTAGCTCACTCTGATATTCTAGCACAATCCTCACTTTCTCGATTGGCATTCTAGGGCACTTCCCCTGGTTGTTTTTGCCCAGGCAGACCGTACTTGGACTAACCCTATATATATCCAAGGTGCTTTCCCCTGGGTTTTACCCGGTGGATCACACTTGTTGATCTCCGTATCTTATGCAAGGCACTTCCACTGGATGTTTTCTGCCGAGATGGACTGCACTTGGCATAATATGACGTATCCCAAGGTGCTTCCCATGGATGTTTTTTGGCCAGGCAGACCCCACTTGGCCATAATATTATATATTCGAGGTGCTTTCCTTGGATGTTTTTTTGCCTGGATGGACCATACTTTGTTGATCTTAGAAACTTATGCAAGGTGCTGCTACTGGATGTTTTTGCCTAGATGTACTGCACTTGTCATAATCCAATGTATCCCAGGGTGCTTCCCCTGAATGTTTTTTGCCCGGGCGGACCACACTTGGCCTATTCATATACAATTAACAGTCTTTAGCCCTAGCTACTTATACCTGTATCACATTATCTGGCACCTTACTATGACTAATTATTCCTATATCACATACTATGACCTACTACATATGTGGATAAATAATGCATGATCTGTTGACAACAGGCTGATTCTGAATTATCAGTCAAAATTTCAGTTCACTACTTATTTATGATGCTTTTCCTGTTTTTTTTTGTTTGGACAGGAAGGTTGCTCTTGTTGCTACCAATATCCTCAACAAGAACTCAATGGACTTGCTCCAGTGTGCTTCAGGTCTCTTTATTTGGCACATAATTCTTATGTCCACTCTATGCTGATTCATGTCATAGTTATATGGCACTGGTCCAAAGCAAAGTGATGTACATCTTGAGTATATGGTACCTGCCTCATACATTCT